TCAAATACTTATCCATAGAAGACCCGAGGGGACCCCCAAACCATCTCCCGTAGCCCCAGCAGTTCAGGCTAGAACCAGGACCCTGGCTCCCAGGTCATCCAGAGAGTAGCCGGGCTGAGCCCGAGCAAGGCCTGCCTCCCAGGCTCGGCCACCCAGAACTGGTCTCTCTGTTCCTCACGGCTTTTCAAATGTCCCAGGTGCAGTGAGCATCCGGGTCCACTGCTTTTTATGATTATTTTTTCACTGCTTTTTAAATATCTGCAAGGTGCATGAAAATCTGTTTTACTTGGAGGTTTGGGCATAATGATCCATCCCCGAGATAAAAGGATCTGCCCTTTTGACCCCAAAGACATACAAAATTACAAGAGAAACTAAGCGCCCGTGGGCTTTGCAGCTGCGACTTCCCTATGTTGGAAGATTTCCAAAAAAAAATAGAGGGCGGAGGCCCTGGGGCAGGACAGGAAGAGGTAGGGCGCAGGGGTATTGTGACATGCTCCAGGGAAGGGCCCCTTGTCCCGTGGCCAGCGGCGGCCCGGGGCGCAGAGGGGCAAGAGAGCCGGACCGGCCATGGAGCCTGGGGCCGGGCCCTCCAGGGCCCCGCAGCCCGTCGAGGGCCACGGCCAGATACTGCTGTTCGGCGAGCTCTGGAAGCGGGATGAGTGCCGCCTGACCCTGCAGGCCCCGGACGATCATTCCGCCGGGCCCTCGTCCACCCGAGCCACGAGCGGCCACAGCAGCTCCGGCAACTGCGCCACGCGGCGGCGCAAGCGTCCCGGCGACAGCTTGCGGCTGGGCGCCGACTGCCCGGCCGCCAAGTCCGGGCGCTGCACCGAGGAGAGGCCGCGCGACCGGTGCCAGGCCGCGTGCGAGCGCAGGGCGGCCCCGGCTCCGTCTGAGAGCTCCGGCTGCGAGGCGACCGAGGAGCCGGCGGCCGGATGCCGGGATCGCCGCCCGCCGCCCGCGCCGCCCGAGCACAGCGCCCGGCTGCTCCTGGTGCTGTGCCGCGCGTCGGCGCTGCGCTCCAAACTGCCGCGGCTGCAGCTGCTCCTGCAGCAGGTGCACGCGCGCGACGGCCGGCCGCCCGCCGCGCTCGTCGGCATCATCGTGCAGCCGCGGCCGGAGGAGGAGGCCGAGGCGCGCCGCCGCATGGAGACCCTGCTCTGCGGCGCCTTCGCGCCGCACAGCCCCTCGGTGGAGGTGCACACGGCCGTGTTCAGCCCCAGCCGCTCCGACTGCACACTGGACATCCAGCCCGCCGCCAGCCGAGGGCACAGTGCCAGGGAGCGGGGCTGCGTCCCGCTAGTGGATCGGGAGACGCAGACGGATGGTGAGGGGCCCGAGAGCTGGCGGGGGCGGGGGGGGGAGGGATGCAAGGACGGAGGGAGTGCCGTCCTGGTCCAGGGGAGTGGACAAATCCCCCATGTCACGGTCCCCCTCCTAGCGCCTCCACCTAACACCGGTTTGGGTGAAGACTAATTAGATTTCTCACCCCAGGTGTGCTCACTGGGGCACTCTCTGGTCAAAAGTGTTCAAATGTATTTAAGTTGTAGAGTTACACTTCCCACCCACCCCACCCCCCCGCCCCAGGCCCTTCCCCCCCACCCCTGCCCTGCACTCTGAATCACACCTTTGCAAGGTACAGATATGGGACTTTGTAGGACCCAGGCCCACCCCCTCTTTTCCACATGCACTTATTCTTTGCTTGGTTCTGTAGGCTTCTCCTCCAAGGGAATCATAATTTACAATAAAAACCTGCCTGGTGTGAGGCAGGCACTGTTCTAAGGGCTTTTCACGTCTAATCCTCACAACTATGCTCTGGAGGAGGTTCTGTGTCAGAATTCCTACTCAGCACTTGAGAGCTTGCCTATCAAGGAATCCAGGCCTGTGGCCCCAGAGGGTTAATCTGTGGGTCTAGAGCCCTGGACAAGGGGCTCTGGAATGAGCACGGGGAGGCTCTGTCTCTGGAAGTCCCCTCCAGAGGCAGCAGCAGGGAAGGAAGCGCTCTGGGCAGGGAGTTCCAACACCCAGTTGCTCAAAGGTCTGCCACCCTCCTATTGGTGACCAGAGAAGGTTGTCCCCTCTGAGGACCAGTTACCTTTCCTGACAGGTGGGGGCCAAGGGCCAGTTGGTGTCTGAGGTGTCATCCAGCTGTAAGATGCGAGCTTCAGGACAAATGTTGACACGCTTGCTGTTGGTGCCCTGGACACGGCCAGAGGGCCAGAACCACTGGGTGTGGATTTTCACACCCTCAGAACCTTATCCTGACTTCGCCTCCCCTTAGACTCCATCTTCTCACAAATAGCGCACGAGATTGTTCTGTGGCTGCCTGGTCGAGTAGGAGAGCCCCTTGCCTGTGGACTGTTCCGTGATCCTCAGCCACGGCCAGAAAACCCCAGTCCATCTTTGAAAATAACCCCTTAAGTGATGCAGTCTGTGAGGTACCTTGGCCCCCATCTTCCGTGCTCATGCTCCCTTCGGTGGTTTCCTGCTTTGTCCTCCTACCCTCACCTTCAAGAAGCTTGTGTTGAGCCTCTTCTCTGGACTTGGGCCCTCCAGGGTATTCACAGTCTGGGAGTAGGGAACTCGAGAGAGGACAGGAGAAACATCACTCTAACACCACGCAATGTATGATCTGGGGCTCAGGGAAGGAGGGGTGACTTCCAGTTGGGGATCTGGAGAAGGGCTGTATGAGGAGATGGGTCCACTTGAGAAGGATCTCGATGATGGGAGGTGTTTTGACAGAGAGAGAGGGGCCTGGTAGAGGGGAAGGGCTTTCACAAATGGAGGAAGGCAAGCCTCCGCGCTCATAGCTGGCAAGAACTGGACGAGGTGGCAGCGAGGTGGTCGGTGCACCTGGGACACTGGTCTGTGACCGTGTTGTAGAGGAGTCAGACTTCCAGCCGGGAACTTGGGCTCCGGCCGGAAGGCAGAGGGGGCCAAGGAAGACCTTCTGGCAAAGTAGCACAGTGCCATTCTTCCTCATCCCTCTGGGCCAAGCTCGCACTCCACGAAGGGCCCTCTCCCTGCTTCTTGGGGCCACCCTTACAAAAGAATCCACCCATATTTTTCTGCACTGCCATAGAAAAACTCCCCGCTCCTCCCAAAGCCTGAGCCTCTGTGTTCCTTCCATAGCTCTCCCCAGGAACAGGGACCTGTTTTCTGTGCCCCTTGGCTCCTTGGTGTGAAATGACACATTCCGTTCATCTCTACCAGGAAATACTACCCATGAGTGTTCGCCCCTTACCTAATTCATTTAAACCAGTGGTTCTCAACCAGGGGCAATTTTCACACACACACACACACACACACACACACACACACACACCTGGAGACATTTAGCATTGTCTGTAGACATTTTTGATTGCCACAGCGGGGTGGGGTGGGTAATGCTGCTAAACTTCCTACAACACACAGGAGAATTATCCGGCTCAGACAGCAAGGATTTATCCGGCCTCAAATGTCCATAGAGCTGAGGTTGAGAACCTCTGATATAAATCAGGTTGAAGCCCCAGGCAAAAGCCCACTGGTGTCTGAAAATCTAATTTTGCAGAGATAAATGCCTTCGGAGTTCCTGGACTGTCTGCTAAATCTGGACAGAGTCCCTGACCCAGGTTTCCAGTCTCTCTGATTCTAAGTTGACTCCCGGAGAGGGATCCATTGCTCTTGACTTGAGAGAATTACCACCTTCTTGTAGACTCACCTGCTCCTTGAACCTCCTTGTGCTGAGGGTCAACCAAATTCAATCCAACTTTATTGATCTGAGCTATCTTCCACTTCTAATCCTTGGTGCCTTTTTTTAAGGAATTCAGTCTTCTCACTCAAGGGATTTTTTTTAGCCCATTGATTTTTAAGATCTGTATAATTATCTGATTCCCTATTGCCTTCTGGAACCATGAAATGAAAGAGCCTTGAATGGGAACTTAACCCTGTCGATGCTTCCAACCAGTCCTGTGATCTTGGAAGGTGATTTAACTTCCCTAAACCTCAGTTTCTCTTCTGCAAAAAGAGAATCATTAAGGTCTTTCCAGGCTCTAGAATCCCGAAAATATTTTCTGTCATTTTACATGTCACATCGGGTCTGGTCTGGCGTGGAGGTGCCTTCTAGCAATGTCTTCCCTAAACCCTATCCTGGGCCAAGAGCATTACTCCCCCCACCCAAGAGCACAGGGTTCACAGCTGAATACTCACCCACCTAGCGATGCATTTATGGTGGAGGTAGAGTCTTCTCATGTGAACACATTCTGTGTTGCAGTCACAGTGTGAAGTTTACGGCTGTCTTTTAAAAATGTCTTATCCACTTCCATCCTGAAAGGAAAATCATATTTTTACCTTCAAGAAATATTCATAGTCCCCTAATTGACCCGATGAGTTTGGGGTTTGAGGGGTAGTCTGTTGTTGCCGCCGACCGAGTTCAAAGAAAGTGTCGTTTTCCAAACAACTGTTATGCTTATAGGGGAAATTCTTTTGCCAAAAGCAAGGGTTTCTATCAAAGTTGGGGGTCCCCAGCCGCTTCCCACAGTGGGGAGGGCAGGTTTTGGAGCTACTTTAAGATCTTCTGAATGAGGAGGGAACAGCTGAAATGGGAGAAGCCGTGGACCTCCCATGGACCCCCAAATCTTCAGTAAAGTGCCTAAAACTCACAGAATGCCTGGTGAAGTCGTTTGTTGGTTTTTGGTATGTGGAAGCCGGTGACAGAGCTGAGCGTCGCAGCCAGGGTGTCTAAGAGTGAAACAGAGAGCACATAGGGACCCAGGAACGCACCAGTAGAGAGGTGCCTGAAGGAGGCGTTCTGGTCGCAGCATCGTGGGGGTCCAGGATGTCACCGTCCCTGTGGCCAGGCCGACCCGGGTCCCTGAGGGCCCAGCAGCAGCCTTCTGCCCATCCCAGTCGCTGGGGAGGCGGGAGGACAGCAGGCTGGTGTGGGCAGAGAAGACTGTCCCCAGAGCCCTGCCATAGGAACCACCCTGGCTTTTGTGACCTCACGGGGGGGGGGGTGGGAGGGTGGAGGTGACAGTTCTCTGTGGGACTTAGGTCCATCCCGAGGCCAGAGCCTTCCCCCAGGGCAGGGGCAAACGGCCCCTCTAGGAGGGAGCCGGAAGATTAGGCAGCTCCATGTAGGTCCATGTTTAGGTGAAGAGAACCCACCATGAGGAAGGGCAAAAGGAAGAAGCCGGAGTCCAGACGCCATGGCTCCACCTCACAGCGGGCCAGCTCCGAATCCATGCCACAGAACGCCAGCTCCCAGTCCACGCCACAGAACGCCAGCTCCGAGTCCACCCCGCAGCAGCCCAGCCCCGGATCCACCCCACAGCCCAGCCCCAGGTCCACCCCGAAGCCCAGCTCTGAATCCACTCCCTGCCAGTCTGTGCCCCAGGCTCTCCCAGCTCCCGAAACCAACTCCTCCCCCCGGGGCCTGCTGCCTCAGGACACTAACACAAAAGCATCCTCGCAACCCAGGAAAACAGGTGGGCAGGCCTCTAACTCAAGAACTTCTAGCCTTCCTGCTGATGGAGTCCTAGGGTCCTCCAGAGGCGGGTTCATTTCGGGTAGTGGTGCATGGTTGACGTGTATTCTGGAACTGTGCTGGTGAAGTGTGAGGGTTTGGGGTTTTGTTGTTACCCAGGACACCAGGATTCCTGGATTTTGCCATTCCTCACCACCCTGAGTCTCAATGAAGGCAGCCACACATACATATTGACATTGCACTTGGCTGGTTGGTGATACTAGCTTATCAGGAGTCGGAAGTGCCATGTGGCTGCTCAAAAATAAAAACCAAGGATGTGTTAACAGAAGTATACAGTTTAGGACAAGGGAGGTGGTCATACTCTGTCCTCATCAGGCTATCCTTGTGTGCTGTAAAAGATGCCTAGCAGTCTGGTCCAAAGAAGATAATGGGGGTGAGGGGGTGGGAAAGCAAAAACCATTTGATGTATGAGATTTGGTTGAAGGAATTGGAGGAAATCTGTCTGTCAAGTAAAAGATGTGAGTAGACTTGTTCCATGTTGCCCTCAGATGTCTGACTAAATGGTTGCCAGATAAAATATAGGATACCCGGTTAAATTTGAATTTCAGATAAACAACAAATAACGTTTTAGTGTAAGTGTGTCCCAGATATTGCACGGGCATTCCGTATTTTCATCTGCTAAATCGGGCAGCCTTACCCATGGAAGACACTAGAGACAGGCAGATTTCTACTCAACACGAAGATATTTCCAAAAATGAGCTCTGCCTGAAAATGGAATGGCTGTCTAGGAAAAGTAGTCCTCCATCTTCTTGGGTAGCCAGAGTCTGAATGAGCATTGGATTGTGTAGAGGGAATTCAAGTGGAGTTTGGCAGACAGGCTGGTTAATACTACTACTACTACTACTACTACTAATGGTAGTAACTAACTGTTATCCCCAAGCATTTACCATGTACCTAGCATTCAGCTCAGCTGTCAGTGTGAATCTTCCCATTTAACAGTCCTATAAAGGAGGTGTTATCATCATGCTCTCCCTTTTATAGGTGGGGGAACTGGGGCTCAAAGAAATCAAACAACACACTCTCAAGCAGGCACTGGTAGCACTGAGAGGGGGACCTCCATCTATTCTGACTCTATAATCCTCACTCCTAACTGCAGCATTGACCTTCTGGTCCCAAGAGTCCCAAGTTCCCCAGGAGGAAGAACACCCTTCTCTGAGCTTCTCTTGGCTTCACCATGAGCCAGTGCCGGTGGCTCTGTGGTCCTGAGCAGGCCACACTCTCTGGGCCACAGCTTATTCCTCGGGGATGGTGTGGATATAAACTAGACGTGAGGTGTGAGTGAGAGAGCTAGCTCCAAGCAATTGCTGGGACAACAGTATTTCCGTGGCTAAGCATCAATTCATATTTTTTTAAGATTTTATTTATTTATTTGACAGAGAGAGACACAGCGAGAGCAGGAACACAAGCAGGGGGAGTGGGAGAGGGAGAAGCAGGCTTCCTGCGGAGCAGGGAGCCCGATGCAGGGTTCGATCCCAGGACCCTGGGATCATGACCTGAGCCGAAGGCAGACACTTAACGACTGAGCCACCCAGGCGCCCCAAGCATCAATTCATTCTTAACATGTAGAAATGGTTTTGAGTGTTACATATTGCATATATTGTGATCATCAACCACTGATGGAAACATTTCTGGATTACGGCCTTCAGAACTGATACCTGTAGAAAACAAAAAGTTCCATTCCCACATCTTTTGAGGAATGCGTGTGGCTCACCCCTGGGGAGGAATTCTGCTTATTGAGAAGACCAAGCAGGAGACAGGGGTAGCCTGCCTGTGGTTATAGTGGACACCCTGCACTTTCCTGCCAGAGGAATTTTCTCCCTTTGAGCCAGAGTGGGAAAAAATGTTGGTGATAAGGGATGAAGGCCTGTACATAAGGGCGCCATTTTCTAAAATCCAAGTTTTTTTTAAAGGATTTTATTTATTTATTTGAGGTGGGGAGGGGCAGAGGGAGAGTAAGAGGGAGAATCTCAAGCAGATTCCGAGCCAAGCACAGAGCCCAACATGGGGCCCGATTCCATGACCCTGAGATCATGACCTGAGCCAAAATCAAGAGTCAGACACTCGACCAACTGAGCCATCCAGGCACCCCTAAAATCCAAATCTTTTTGGGTGCAGAAAACACTGTAGTTTCAGAAAGTATTAACCTTCCACTAAAATGGCTGTAATCAAAAGGTGGACAGTAACAAGTGTTAGGGGAAGCTGTGGAGAAACTGGAACCCTTGTCCACAGCTGGAGGGAACGTAGAATGGTGCAGCTGCTGTGGAAAACAATCTGGCAGTTCCTCAGAGGGTCAAACGTGAAGTTACCGTATGACCCAGCAATTCCACTCCTGGGCACATACCCAAGAGAACTAAAAATAGAGCATCCATACAAAAACGTGCACGTGAATGTTCACAGCGGCATTAGTAATGATAGCCAAGAAGCGGGACAAACTCAATATCAACCACCTGATGAATGGATAAACGGCATGTGGTACGTCCATACAACGAAATCCTATTTGGCACCACTGACACAGGCTACAACGTGGATGAGTCTCAGACACATTAGGCTAAGTGAAAGAAGCTAGCCCGCCAAAGCCCACGTGTTGTATATGATTCCATCTATGAAATGTGCAGAGTAGGCAAATCCATTGCCTGGAACTGGGGGGAAGGTGGGGAAAGGCAGTGACCGCTAATGGTCATGGGCTTTCCTTGGGGAGGGAGGAGACGAAAATGTTCTGGAATTAGACAGTAATGACGGTTTTACACCTTTGTTAAGAGACCAAAAACCACTGAACCCTTTAAAGGGTAAATTTTATGACACAGGAATTAAAAGTCTATTTTAAAAAAAAATTAACAAAGAAAAAAGATAAAGCATGCCTTTTAGAATCCTTTCCTTCTCCATTGGAGAAAAAGTATCTGTCGTGGGCAGGTCTCAGGAGGAAGTGTGCGGCATCTGCCAGGTTGAGAACTGGCTGCGCGGAGCTTACGTTGGAAGAAGATGTAGCTGTGTCAAGAAGCCAGGACCGAAGTCACTATCCAAGGTGGGAACTATTTGCCAGAAGCCCTCCTGTGTCACCGCAGATGGCGCCATCTCCGAGTCCTGCTGGTATCCTTAGCAGAGGACAAACGGGAGAGAGGTTTGGGAAAGTGCTTCAAAGACTGTAAATTGGAGGAGCCGCTGTCTTCTGGATCGATCAACGAACCCCAGAAGAATGGACCGTGTTCCAGTGGAATCTCAGGGTCGCGCTCCCGCCACGGTCATTTTCTGTGAATTCCAGAGAAGGAGCACCAAACGAGTTAGAAGCCCCGAGCTGAAGCCCACTTCTTCCAATCTACTTGTTGTAAGGCCACATCCCATCTATTCTTTGAGCCTCAGTTTCCCTGTTTGTAAACTGAGAATAAAAAATAATGGCACCATTATTTTGAAATGGCCCAGGGAGCTCCAGTCTATAAAGCAACCAGTTTCCCCAGCAGCTAGTCTTCTCTCCCGTGTCTCCCTAGCTCTCCCCAGCCTCCTGGAGGCAGGGGGTCCCTCATCTCTCTCCTTCTCTGTCCATCCAGGGGCTGTGACTCGTACGGGCCCGCGGGCCTACTGTTCCTGTTCCACTTGCCCTGGCAGCTCTGCTTGCTGGCGTCGCCTGGGCCTGTGTCACAGCCGCATCTTTGATGTCCTCCTTCCTCGGGTCTGGCCCACCATGCCAGGGAGAGGATCCCCAAGCCTCCTCACTTTCTACAGGTTCTGGAGCGCATGGGGGGCTGGACCCTCGGGGCCCTCGGTTCCCAGGGCCGGGCTCTGCCCTGGACCATGTTAGCCGCCATGTTGTAACTTCTTGAGAATTCCGGGGGGAAAGGAAGCCTCTCCGGGGTGGTCACTTCCCGGGGTTTGGCGCCCTGCCCTTTCCGACCGGACCCACACCCCGGGGTCCCCCACCTGCACAGAGAGGGGCCAGTTTCCTTCCTTACCAGGAATTGCTTCTTTAGGAGGCTTGTGTTTCTTTTCTCCAGAGGTGCACTCCTTCCTCAGAGGATACTCCCTCACAGCCCTTAGAAAAGTCCCTGTCACTCACAGCATTGTGATTAAATGCTCTGTTGGGCCACGGGCCTCCTTCTGTGGCCCATCCCATAGCTGAGAGCTTCAGGTTCTTGACCTGCATATGAGTTTTCCCCAGAATTTAGTGATAAATACTGATTGCAACTCACATGGCCCATTGGTAAGAGCAAAACCTCCACCCCCTTCAGAGGGTTTCACCATTTCTGGCAGTCTCCACGGGGGACATGCCCCCAGGCTCCCACAGCATCATCTGCAGTACCTGCCTTTCCTTTCCTCTCCCACGAAGCCCTCAGGAGAAAGCCACCTGGTGGCTTCTGCTTCCGCTCGAGGGAAGACCCCTGTGCAGAAAACAGAACTAAAGACAGCAGTCCGCTTTCCCAGTGGTGCAGGGCTATGTGCCTCCCTCTGCCCCCGGCTCTGGGCCCCAGAGTAGCTACACCTGTACTCAGGGTCTCACCGATGTCCACGAAGAGACTTCCCACTTGGGGATCTCATACCCCTACACCAGGCGCAGAACCCACCCACCCCTCACCCTCTTCCTGGTCTCTCCCCCACCAAATCCCCTCTCTCCCCAAAGCACCATCTCTCAGACATAAGAGAAGCAAACAGATACCCAGGTGTGTTGGGAGAACATGTGTAGAGCTAAAAATACTCTACAGTCCGGTAAGTCCCATCAGGGAAAGACCTGCCCGCCACTCACCTCTACTCTCTTCCCACACACTTAGTATTTCTGTCCATCTGGTGTCGAGGCGTGCCGTGGATTTCGTATCGCTTTAAAACCGACAAGTGGGAACACCTCCTGGGCGTAGAATACTAGGCGCTATGAGGAAAACCAGAACAGGGAACTTGACCCTTTAAAATCATACAGTCTACGTGACAAGCTGAGACGTGTACATTTAGAAACTCAGATGGGAGCCAGGAAGTGACACTTTCCCCATAGAAGTTCAAAGAGCTTCAGAAAAAGAAGGTGCTCACTTCAAAGTCGGGGTCCACAGAGACTTTGTAGTGTCAATGGTATCTATCTGCACCGAGTCTAGAAGGGTCTTGGGATCTTCCCATGGCTTACCATGAAAAGAGAGTGTTCTAGGTGGAGAGAAAGGTAAAAGCAAGGCGGCTCAGCATTAGGGAATGGTGGGGATGGGGCAGAGATGCAGTCTGGCCAAGGTGAGACCTGTGGTCTCAATTCTGCTCAAATTATAACACCAGCTTCCATAATCCTGACATTTCTCAGTGGAACGGAATGTTGGATCTTGGCTTTAAATACGTATTCACATTAAACACGATTCCCTACTTTAGCAGGATTGTTGTCCAAATGGATACTGCGTTTTGTGAAAACCTTCCCCACAGTCATTAGCACGATGGTACATCTCCCTTGCCCGCGTGGCGGGCATCACGTGTGGCTTCCTCAGATTCTTCTTCTCCAGAACCTTCTCCACATGATAGAACCTACTTCACAGGGTTGTTGTAAGGCTGGAGGAAGACCCTGGGTGTGAGATGTATAACATGGGGCGGGGCATACCGCGGCCTTAACTGCCTTCATACCCTGCTCCCTGAGTGTCCCAGGGAGCTGGCATCCCGGGCTTGCCCATCCTCAGAGGCAGGGGTCCCATGGCAGGGATTCATTGGGCAGGGTGGGCAGAGCTGGGTTCTCTTGAGAGGAACATCAGCGGGGAGATGGGCATTCCTGACATCCTGAGGGGACCCTACCATTTCTGCTTCCCCTGTCTGTAGACAGACACTAGAGTCCAGCTTCCCCCAACCTGTGGGCTTTCTGCTTTGCTCTACAGAAAACCTACAAGGAAACACTCCACTCACCGTAATTCACGTGCTCCAAGCTCTCGGGACTGCTGCTGTGGCTCTGGGGGCCCTGGGAGCTGCCTATTACACCATTGAATCCTTGTGAGCAAACCCCCAGGCCCGCGGTCCGGCAGGTACGTGGGCCCCCTTTGTGCCTTCGCCCCCTGGCAGAGGTAACCCTCAAGCCCACTGGGTCACCATGCCCGCAGTGCAGGGCTGAGGGAGTGTCTGTCCCTTCTCAGAATAAAGGAGGAATTTATGGGTGGACCAAGCCCCCAGCCTCTCAGGGAAAGCTTAAGAACCGAGTGACTTCCTGACCTCAGGGTCCACTGGCACGGCCCTCTCAAGCAGCCCTGACACTCTTGGACGATGCTAGACCCACTATTGGGATTGTCAAATCACAGCACCCCCAACCCCCACTGCGGGGGCTTCCCTAGTCACAGATCCCAGGCAGGAAGAAGCCAGAGAGGGGGAACAGAGGTTCCCGTCCCTCTTCGGGACTTCCCTTGGAACTTTCTCCCTGTCAAGTGAACTATCCCTTCTGAAGTGCTGCTTATCTGTCATGGCCTGGTCCCACCCATTTCTTCCATAAGCTCTTCCCCCACTACAGTTCCAGTGATTTCTCCCCTCTCTTTAACACTGTTTTCTCCAGCCTATTCCATCCTGAATTGTGGATGATTTTTTGGTACCTATGTGGCCTGTCTCTGCAACTACAGTGCACGATCCTTGAGGGCAGGGAGCATCTCCAGCCTCCCCTGTCTCAAGCCAGGCTCCTGGGGGCAGAGCCTGAGACAGGGATTTGGGTGCACAGGATTTATGAGGGAAAATGGGAGTGAGGGAGGTAAGAGAGGACAGAGGAAGGAATAGAGCAAGGGGGAGGTCTCAGCTGGAGTCCAGCCTCAGCCTGATCCCAGGGGAGCTCTGGTGTGTGAATTACACCAGAGAGCTGGTCTCACCCGTGCTCCTCCATCACTGAGGCACTGGCAATAGGGCTGGGGGTGGGGAGTGTATATCTTTGTGGAAAAGCGGGTCCCATTTGTCCTCCCCTGAGAACAAGTTCCTGGGGAAGGAGGCAGTTTTGAACTGTCAGCAGCCAACATTCACAATTCACAGGAGCCGGGGAATGGATGCACCAGCCCAGAAAGAGGATCTGGGTGGGCACCAAGAGCACCCACAGTTGTCCCCATTGTCAAGTCCACTGGCAGTGAATGCCTAATAATGGGGGGTGGTCAGCTGGTAATGCAGCTTTTCAACCCACGCCCAGACCTCCACCAGCCACGGGAATGGACAAGGAATGGCCACAGTAGGGCACGTGCTCAAAGCATCTCAGAAGCCCAACCCAAAAAGTAAACTCACCAGCCGCTCAGGGGCTCTGCTGCCTGGTCAAGGGACTTCCAGGGAAGAATGAAGGCACCTTAAGCTTCATGTAATACCACAGCAGCTGAGAGCCTCGGTTTCCCCGTCTGTAAATAGGGAAGATCATGGGACCTGTCTTGAGATTGTTGGAGTATGAGATAAGGTGCTCCGAGGACAGGGTTGGCCAGTTGGCCGGTCTTGCTACTATTACCATCGCGGGAGTGGTCAGAAAGATGCAGGCTTTGGGGGTCGGGGCTGTAGGTTCCGGTCTTGGCTCTGCTACCTGGGAGCTGGGTCTTAGGGGATGCATCACTTAACTCTCTGTTGAGAGGCATGTCATTGCTAAAGAAGGACAAATAGTAACTATCTCCGGTGGGGGGGGGCGGCGATGGTTTTGAGGATTAAATGAGAGGATGTTCAGACACGCCAGGCCGGGTCACAGGGGTTGGGTAGATGGTGGTGACTGGCAGTCTGAAGAATGCCCCTGAGCTAAAGCGTTTTGTCCTAGAGGCTCCTTACAAGAGGGGCCATGGTGTTCCCTTGGGTTCTGCCCCTGGCGGCAGGCAAGCTTGAGGTCAGATCCCCTCCCACATCCAGTAGCTCTAGGGCCTGGAGCAAATTCTTTAACTCCTGCCATCTTCTTGTTAAATGGGGTAATAACAGTACACCTCTCACTGGGTAGTTGGGGGGAGTGGGTGAAAAGTACGCATGTCAAACACTTAGCACAGAGCCCGGCACAGATGAGGCATTCAACACAGCCGCTCCCCCATCAGCATCATCAACATCGCTTCTTAGCTCAGTGTTCCCGAAACTCGGCCAAATTTGACACCCGCACTATCCTTACTCCTTTTAAAATTAGCTTTCTTTTTAACTTAAATGCATTTATTTTCAAGGGAAATTTGAGTTGGGCCATAAATGGAAAATCCTATCGCTTGCCATAAAAAGACTCACAGTAGATAGAAATCCAAAATGTCGTGGAATTCTAGCTGATGAGGATGCCTGAGAAAGGCTCAGCTTTGAAGCTGGTGCCCTGTATGTTCCAAGGACACCCGTTGGACGTTAAGACAGGCAGCTCCACGCTGTGACGTTGTCTTCTGCTTTAACCAGGGTTGAAAGATGAATGGCAGGGATCTCAGTTATTTAATGTGCTGTCGGGGGCTACCTGAAGCACCTCATTAGTTCACACGGTGCTGAGCCCTGCATGGAGGGGCCCAGGGGGGCGAGGACGGAGATGGTTGACAGCAAGGAGGGGGAGTGGAGGGGGTGGAGAGGGGGAAAACGGGAGGAAGGGAGTAGAATAGAACCCCATCCAGGGCCTGGAGTAGCTCACTCCCCTGGCACTGAGAGTGAAACCGTGCGTGAATTTCACACAACTCACCTCTTTCTTCTGCTCTGAGGAGTGACTCCTTATGCCTTCTTAGGGCGGGCCCCTTGCCTGGATGCAGGGCTGGGCTGCCGCTTTCTCGGGGCCAGATACAACCAGCCCAGGGACAGAACTCCCACCTGACGGGCTGGTCCTCGCAGGGATGGACTTCCTCTCTCCACCCGGAGCTGTCCGTCACCACTCCGGTCTCCCTTGAGGGAAAGGGAGACTGTGCCACCCACCCTGAGTGGCCTGAGACAGGCTCCTTCCCAGGCCCCAGAGCCCATGCCTAGCGACTCTGATGAGGTGGCCTTTCCCCCCGGTCACCCACTGCTTTTGTCAAACTGCTGTTCCAGCACTGGGATGGAACGCTCATTGGCACTGGGGCACTTGAAATGTGCTTTAACTGACCTGAGCAAGGCCTGGCTTCTTCCAGACTTGCTTCTGCCAGAGCCTGCGCTCCAGTATCCTATCCCCATCGTTCAGTGGACACTAGGAGTCTGGGGTCTGATTATGGTACCACCACAAGGGGTCAGGAGAGGACTTTCTAGAAGCCTAGAAGTTGCAGTCACAGTGTCTCCCACCCTGACTCCCCACAGTCGCGCCCCCCCCCCCGCACTAACCCCTGTAAACAGGCAAGTGGGCCAACACAGCTGTCCCAAGTCAGTACTGACCATGCGCCCAGCACCACACTGGGGACCGTGAGACATGAGGGAGGACACAATGCGACACGGATGGCCAAGTCCACCAACAGGCCAAGGCAAGGCTTGGGACTCAGAAGTCTGGTAAAGTCTGTGGATTCCCAGGCAAAGGGGGCAGGAGATAATAATTCCCATGGAGACAGAAATGCTTATCTGACATCCAAGCTAGAGGGCAGAGTCCAGATGAGGAAAAAGAGTGTTCATTAATTAAATAATGCATTCATTCATTAAATATGTCTTGGGTACCTACGCTGTGCTATAGGAGTAAACCAAGACAGACAAAAGATCCATCCCCCGCTCCAGGGAGCCTGCATTCCAGTGGGCACAGACAGACAATGGACAAGTTAATGAATAAACAAGATGCCTTGATTTGGTGGCAAGTGTTATCAAGGAAATCAAGCAATAAGGTTGATCTGATAAAGAGCAGAGAAGGGCAGGTGAGCAGGAGGGGATGCTGCTGGCGATAGGCTGGTCTGTGAAGGCCTCTCTGAACTGAGATGCGTAGGACAGAAGGAGCCAGACGATGCAAAGCTGGGGGAGGAGCGTTCTTACAGGCAGAAGAACACATCCAATCATTGGGCAGGAAGGAACCTAACCTGTTTGGGGACCAGAGAAGAGGCCAATATGGCTGGAGCTCTGGCGGTCAGGATAGCATTGCAGGGGAGACCAAGGTCAGGCAGGGCCTTGAGGACTTCATGTTCTAGATGTCTCTCAAGTTGCTGGTTTTGATTTCAGAGATCTCAAAACAATCCCAGTGCCTGTGGGCTAGAGGATGGGGAAGGGGGAGGAGGACCAGGTGGGGATCATCTGCACAAGCAAAGATGGTGCTTGGACCACGGGGATAGCCGTGGAGGGGACATTACGGGGCCGGAACCAGCAAGTCTTGCTGATAGATGGGACGAAGCGATGAGGGAAAGGGAAGCCTCAAGGATGACTCCTTGGGGTGCCATTGCCAGAGGTATAAGGCACAGGAGGGGATGGAAATCAAGAGTTCTGTTCTGTTGTTATTATTGAGATGTTGGACTACAAAATGGACGAGTCACGGAGGCAGATGGCTGTATGGAAGTCACCAGAAAAGCCGGTGGGAGTGATTGGTAAGAGCTGAGATTTACAGCCACAGGCAGTGGCCAAGATGACTCAGGAAGAAGACATAAATAGAGCCAAGAGCCAGGAACCAAGGCCAGGAAGATGTCATTTAGAAGGCTGGTAGTTAAGGAAGGTGCCAATGGAGAAGACACCTGCTGTGGGTCTGCTCTGGGTCTAGGCAAGCATGCAGGGTCCCATTAAGTTCTCAGAGATAGGGAGAGCAGGTAGGTTCAGGTCAACATGTGGTGTCCACAGGTAGGGAAAGGCAGCAAAGAGACAAGAATCTCGGCGGAAGGGGCTGGTGAGCAGGGCTGAGACCTGGGATCATAAGGATCCTGCTACTACATTTCTGTTTGTTCTTGTGTTTCTCACGGAGTGTGGACAGACAGACATGTGCTTCCCTGTCCTGGTACCAGGGCCCACCCCCATGTGTAAAGTGAACGGCGGAGGGTGGGCAGGGGCCTGCCCCAGCACCCAGGTTCACGGCCTCTTCCCCTCTTGGCTGGATGCGCTGACCCAGGTGCTTCTGGACTCTAGCCCTTCCTACGCATCCTGCATTTTCAACCATCGCCCTCAATGCCGATCCTTTTGGTGCAAAAAGCTTTCACTGCCTCATGAGAAGAATGCCTTAGCTCGGCAGCTGAATGAAATGTACCTACCTCTAAATAGTTGAGGTGCTTGGTAAACAGGAAAGTGTTCCCTTCTGACTTCTCACCTCTTAATTCAGCTGTACAGTTGAAAGTGTGAATTGGTAGGTTTCCAAATGCCATGAGGCATTTTAAGACTTGGTTTGATAAGTGGAATGTGGGTTAGATTTTTTGGTGCTACAAATTTCAGAAAACCTAATTCAAAATTGTAATAGGGAGATCATCTCAGGGAACACTTGGGAAGCGGCAGGGATGGCTAACTCAACAGGGTCAGCAGGGACCTGGGGACTTACCCAGCTTTCAGCCCTGACACCCCTCAGCAGAGGAGGGGTGAGTTCCCCTCCTGGGCAGATAGCTGGAAGAGCTCCCAGAATGCCATCCTCATACCTGACCGTCAGAAGCAGGGAAAAGGCCACCTCCTCCTTATGTCTCTTCTTAAGAAGTTTTTCCCAGAAACCCCTGCCCCTGGCATACTTGCCCTCTAATTGGGGTGACGTGCCCCTGAATTGGGTCTCATGCCTCTTCTTTGACAGATTAATAGCATGGGGAGTTAAATTATCATGACTGGATTAGCCCAATCCAGAGCTCTCCCTATATTCTACCCCAGGTCTGGGGCTGGGGTTACTTCCCTTTGCCGGGCAAAGAAGTAGAACATCCCAACCAAGTGGGACCCTGGCCAGCATCACCCACTACAAGAGACAGGAGTGTTTGTAGAAGGTTCTACAGTAGCCGAGTGCCGGATGAACTCCGTTGTCCAGGCGTGTTGGCTTGGACAAGCGCTTGAACCACAGAAGGCCCCCTGAGGGTATGTGAAAGTCAGTGTGTGCGTGCGAGGGGGAGGTGCACTGGGTCATCCTGAGTTCCAAAGGCTCAGCCATTCGACCCTGTGCAAGGGAAATAGTTTGGTGTCCTTCTCAGTCCAGAGACTAAAGAACATCTAATGGCAGTGGCAGAGCCTCCTCTCTGGGAAAAGGTGTTTCTAGAATCTTTCTTAAAGCTTGGTAAGCCCGTCTCTTAACATCCCACTGGGAATGAGAAGGCATTCAAAGCAAGGGGCTGCTTCCCCTCTCCTTTTGGGCAGTGAGCACAGTAAAATTCACTGCCACGGCCCAGTTTTGGGGGAGCAAGTCTCCACTGCAGCTGCTGAGGACCCTGGGAGAGGGGGAGAGAAAAGAAGGCACCAATGTTGACGGAGCCAAGTATGAGCCAGGCACTTTGCATAAGCGCGTTACAGCCTGAAGGGAAACACCAGGCTCCAAGTGGCTGTTTTTGGATGAAAAGGAGGGTGGACAAGAGAATGGAAGAAATTTGAATCCTAAATAATTTATTTTTCTACAAGAGGATCTTAACTGCTGAAACCTCCTCACCCACGGGGTTGTAAAACTGGAAAGCCACCAAAATTCCAAGGTCGTGGAATGTTGTCTGAGCTAATGGCTCTGTCCTTATTTTTCTTACAGATCCAGTTTCCATCAAGGATCTCTCTTGTCACCAAAATAGAACCCAAAAAAAAAAAGAATTCTGTTTCATGAGTGTGTTTTACCCAGAGACACAAAGCTGCACTTGGCAAATGGGTTGGGAGAGAAGTGTGGGATGAGTTTGTAGAGCCCCAGGCAAATGAGGGGTAGGGTCCTCCTATTCTTGTTGGGGACCACAGACCCAAGGGGGGGGGCAACTTTCTCTGCACATACTCACAGAACAGACTGCTTCTGATTTTCCCACTCTAAAAGCAAGAATTACACAACTCGATTCAATACCTAACATAACCAGTCAACTGCACTTCTGTCCAGCGGTAATCCCGGTTAGCGGGAACAGGAGGAATGCGCTGACCCCTTTCCAGGCCCGCACCTTGGGGAACAGGGGCTCCATGCCCGGGAACACTCTGTCTCTGGGAAATGGCTTCATTTATCCTCACCTGTGATGGGAGAGGTGCAGGGGCAGGGCAAGGCGCAACTTGCAGCCTTGTGGTCTGTCCCGTGACTTTGCTGCACCCAGCCAGGGCCGGGTGGGTCTTGAGCAGCTGAGGCAGAGGTCTTAGTTCAGAGGGATCCCAGGAAACACCAGGAGGGGAGAGGGGTGTGAAACAGGGAAGAGACGACAGTCAATTCAAGGACAGTGGCCACTGGGGACAACTGAAGCTTAGATCAGCTGGGGCAGCCCTGGGGGAAACAGACCATATAACTCAGAGTGATTCTGGCAGAGGTGGGAAAGCTGGATGTTTATATACCCATCCTGTTGGTCCTCAGTTAAGGGCTGCCTGAAGGGAGGTGGTTAATTCCACCTACCCACCCCCACCCCTTCCGGGACTTCTGTCCACTCCAGAGATGACGCTCCCGGACCAAGCAATGCAGATAGCTACGCCCGGGAGTCCAGAATGCACTGAAGCCCTCGGTCATGGCCAAGGGATCCGGTTAATGGGGGCGGTTAATGGGGAGGAGGACAGCTCTGAACTCAAGCGAGCGCACAGAGCCATGCCCAAGGGATCGGCTGCCCTTCGAAGAGCTGTTCAGGCTGGGAGCCATCAGGACAGCCCTTGGAGAGGCAGGGAGCTGGCCTGCCTACAATGGGGAAGGTGGGGTAGCGCAAGGTGGGCTGGGCCGGTTCCCAGGAAGCCCGCAGCCCACTCACCACCTCCCAAACCCAGGATTTCCTTTCCTCAGCAGGCACTGGTAGGTGGCGAGAGGGCACCCCAAGCTGAAAAACACACCTCTCCTGGGACGCAGCCTCCCCAGGAAGAATGCAGACTTCTGGGATGGGGGAGGGTCATGTTGCGGTCCTTTCCTGCGGGTCAGGACGGGAGCGGCCAGAGACAGGGTGCAGAGGCCTGGGGCCCATGGCTCCTGCCTCTGCTCAGCCTGGCTACTCCGACTGAAGATACTTAACTCCTTTCCCTGGCCTCGTCATTGGTCCCTTTTCGTAAATGTCAGACAACCTAACCCAAGCTGGCCTGAACAAAATGGGGCTGTACTGACTCCTATAAAAGTTGAGAGAGAATTCCAGCTCAGATGCGGCTTGTTCCAGGGGGCTCAGGTCAGGCCCCCAAACCTGTTTCTATCTGCTTTTGCAGGGACTCAGAGGTCTTGAGGCACCTCCATCCTCAGGCAGGCTCTTCCCACAAGGGGGCCAAATGACCACAGCAGCAGCAACAACCCCCGCCCCGGTCTCTGAAGGTCAAATCTGGCAGAGAAGGTGGTCTGCTTCCCAGCAGCAAAGGGCTCTGACCAACCGCTCACTGGGTCCTGTGTCCCTCCTGGAACCCATGTTCTACCCAGGGGAACGCTGGCTAGGCCAGAGCCACCTTTGGAATTGAGGGTCAACTACGCGGACAGTCTGAGGACTGGAAGCAGAGAAGAGGCCAAACAGTGATTTTGATAACCCTGCTACCGAAAGAAATAGGAATAGATGCTAAGCAGCTAAAAAACCACAGATATGCACTCCAGGTGGGTTTGGGCTTGCAACAAGAGCCCTGGTGCTGCCCTCTACTCCTGCCCCTTTCCCCTCCACCCCCCTCCCCCATTTCACCAGAATGAATGATTGAGTAGCTAGGAGCCAAGAATTCACAGTTGCCTTGATCCACAGAGCCCTGGTGTTTGGATTCCCGAGGGCAGTGGTGACCTGGGCAGTCTGACCCTCCCACCCCTGGGACCTGTGACTGGTAGTCACAGTGACTGGGAGATACTATGGGCTGTCAGTGATGAAGGCTGAGAATGCAAAGCACAGGACAGTCCCACACAACAGTTGTCCCACCCAAAATGCCAGTAGCATTCCCGTTTGGCCATCACTGCCATTGGGGCTCGTCTGTAGATGCTCTCCTACACTGCCCTTGCATTGGGCCTCATAGTACTTGTCATGGACCGTAGGCATCACTCTTGAAGAGTGGAAGCCATGTGTGACAAATGGTCGCATGCCAAGCATCTCCCGTTACTCTTCATCCTACCGCTGTGTTGGCATGTCCATCTCTTTGCTCTGTGGTTAGGTCCTAGAGGCAGACACTAGGTGTTTCTCCTCTCTTGAATCCCTCCTGGCACATCAGAGTAGAATGAATGAATAAGGCTGCCCTGACCCGGACCACTTTTTGATAAGCTGAGATTTAGGTTGGACCACTGTATTCAGAGTGGTCTATAAATGTGATCATTGGATTGAAATATTTCCATTACTACCGATGTCAAGCAATAGCCCCAAAGGGTGCTTTGGAGAGGGAAGCTTAGAGCTAGAAAGAAGTGTGACCAAGTGTATTTCTGAACACGGCATGATAACTAAGGCTACCGTGGCTGTGAGTTTGGGGTCAGCCTGGCTGAGACTAGGCCCGTGGGTCTAGCATCTTCCACAGGCTGGATTCAGACCTGGGCTCTGAATGTCTCCAGACCACAAACTGGCTGTTCATGAGAAAGTCAGGTCTGTCCCGCTGGAGCCGTCCTTCCAAGCGTGCGAAGAGGGCACAAGAGGCAAAAGCAGAGCCGACTCCGGGATGCCCTATCCTCCTGCGGTTGTCCATCTGCTCACCCAGCTCATCGGTGCCTGGTGCTAGGACCGGTTGAAAGGCCCTGAGCTGCTTCAGACACTACTCTGGGCTTCATCCTTCCCACCCTACTCCCTCCAGAGAACCACTACTCTCCCACTGGCCATGAAGCCTGGTAGGTTACAGGTGGAACGAGTAACCAGGATCCAAGGACCTAAACTGGCAAATCCAATCATAAAACTAAGGTGGAACACCTAAGGGCTGCCTCTTCCGTCTCCTCTGAGGTCCCAGGCTCAGTGCCATGTTTGGCAGGGCACTAAATCAGGCCTGTAGCTACTGCAAGTTTTGGCTTCACTGGGAGACTCTGGAAGACCTTCTCTCCCCAGGCACCTGCTCCCCAGTGTATGCAGGGACAGCAGATACCTTAATAATAGGCAGATACTATACATATATCACACCTCACATAGCCAGTCATGGAGACTCGGAGCGGGAATTTGAACTGGCAAAGTGCCCTTGGGAACAATTCATGATACATTCCTGGCCAAAGCCAGGAACCAAGCCGTGAGCTGGCAAAAAGACTAGGGCTCGGAAATCTTGAGGCCCCTCCTTGCTAGCAGTGTAGACTTGTTGGCTGCCAAGGAGGGAAGTATCCAAAGAAGAGGGCCGGTTGGTCTCAGCAGCAGGGCTGAAGCAAGGGATCCAGGCTCAGACTCTTCTAGGAGGCTGAGAGCTAACAAGTTCTGTTCAAGTCTGGGGTGACTGATCCCGGTTAAGAAGTCCATAAAATAGGGGCGCCTGGGTGGCTCAGTTGTTAAGTGCCTGCCTTCGGCTCAGGTCATGATCCTGGGGTCCTGGGATCGAGCCCTGCAACGGGCTCCCTGCTCAGTGGGGAGCCTGCTTCCCCTCTCTCTCTGCTGCTTCCCCTGCTTGTGCTCTCTCTGTGTCTGTCTGTCTGTCTGTCTCTCTCTCTGTCAAATAAATAAATAAAAATCTTAAAAAAAAAAAAAAAGAAGAAGTTCATAAAATAGATGAATGGGAAAGTCCACTTGTCTTCCATTAGTCTTAGGATGAAGGGTCTGGGTGGGCCAACTCCATGAAGATGCTGAACCCCTAGAATTTTATTCTCCTTTACACTTTTCTCCTCCTCCCCCTTCCACTTTTTTTGCCTTTCTCTTGGCTGCCCACCTCCAGTGGTCAGGGGTGAACTGCTAGTACCACGTTCTGGGAAATCTGATTATACCTGAGACACTGCTGTTTGGACTGCAGTCTGCCGTGGAATGGCATTGGGATTGAGTTTCATCTGCTGGTGCTCTATTCTGCAGGTGGGGTAGGAGGTGCTTTTCATGAGCTGATAAGGCATCTTCAAGGAGGCCCTGTGCGTGGAAGAATAACCACAGATACAGAGTTGCTCAAAAAGCCCAGCAGGTCCCTGGGTGAGCCCCTGGAGTTGGATAGAGCTGACTAGAAGAACTGGGACAGAGGATCATTTGGGGTCTACTTTGCACTTTCGGTGATTTGAGTTTCATACATATTTGGGGATGTTGCTTTCTCGGTAGGAAGCAAAAGGAAAGTCCTTTCATTCTGGTGGGATTAGGAATTGATTGGCCCATCTCCCTTCATCTTACTCACTTAGCAAAACCAGGTACCTGGTTCAATCCAGTTCTCTATCTCCCGTGCACATCCAACGGAACTTGGGTAACCACAACTATGCTGCTGGAATTACTCTAAATTCATGATGTAGTGCTGGTGGGGATTGAATCACCTCATATTTCCCTGATACTCTTCTGTCATCTAACCACGCCACCAAGTCTCCCCGCCTACCAGCCCTTCTCTAGTCAATATCTGTGCCCCTTTCACCCAAGACAACCACTGGTTTGACTTCCGTCACCATAGACGGATAGATGTGTAGTTTTGCCTGCTCTGGAAACTCATGTAAGTGGAATCAACCAGCATGCACTCTTGTATCTGGCTTCTTTTGTTCAATAATTTTTTTTTAAGATTTTATTTATTTGAGAGAGAGAGAGAGAGCATGAGTGGGGGGAAGGGCAGAGGGAGAGGGA